AAGAAATTACCTGGAATGTGTTTAGTTGACCATAAGGCCGCTGCGTTCTTGACTCCACGATGATTGGCTGCCTCGTAGCCTGGAAGCATTTGTGACAGCCAATCAACGTGATGTATTAAGTATAAAACCAAGTACAACCTAGCATTAAATAAGTCCGACATTAATGATGTTATACAGTACTGTACCTGACAACCTATTATCTACGCAATTCCAAACAAGATTAGAACTAAATCCTAAATTAATTAGTCGAGTGATGAACAATTAAGTCGTTTGTAGGATAGCTATTATTTGGTACAATACTGTATCCGGTACCTGTATTATCACAAATCGTTATCTTGAGATGATTTCGGGGCTTTTTTTAGTGTCCCCGCGGCCCGGTCCTCGACCAGGCCTCCACCCCCAGGAAGCAGCCCGTGACAGCTGACTAACACCCAGGTACCTATTTTACTGCTAGGTAACAGTAATAAGTAAACTTATTATGATTATGAGGACGATCATCATAAATCATACTTATCATCATTTCTAACACATCCATGTTAGAAATGAAGTCCCCGTGGTGAAGTGGCAAGACACTCGCCTGGTGTTTCACGAGTGCTTTGTCCTGGGTTCGTATCCTGGCCAGGGGAGGATTTACTGGGTATCAATCCTTAACTGTAGTCTCTGTTTACCCAACAGTAAAATGGGTACCCGATTGTTAAACGATTTGGCAGATCGTATTCCCGGGAAAATTAGGACTAAGGACTTGCCCGAAGCGCTATGCGTGCTAGTGGCCACACAAGAATGTAAAAAACTCTTGTATATAAAAAAGAAAGAAAAAATAAATCACTACATTCTAATCAACATCCTCACTATCACCATTTTCTGAAATTCTTAAAATAAAATACAGGATACAAGACAATCAGGTCTACTCACAGAAGGAAAACATGTAAAGGATCTGGAAATAATGATGTGTAACGACCTGATATTTACTGAACATAGCCAAGCAAATATAGTATCAGACAGACGAATTATGGGAGCTTTTATATCCTGCGAGTCCACAATGCTCAGAGTATTCAAATAATATACAATATACATTTTATATATATATATATATATATATATATATATATATATATATATATATATATATATATATATATATATATATATATATATATATATATATATATATTTATATTTATATATATATATATGTCGTACCTAGTAGCCAGAACGCACTTCTCAGCCTACTATGCAAGGCCCGATTTGCTTAATAAGCCAAGTTTTCATGAATTAATTGTTTTTCGACTACCTAACCTACCTAACCTAACCTAACGTTTTCGGCTACCTAACCTAACCTAACCTAACCTATAAAGATAGGTTAGGTTAGGTAGGGTTGCTTAGGTTCGGTCATATATCTACGTTAATTTTAACTAAAAAAAAACAAATTGACCTCATACATAATGAAATGGGTAGCTTTATCATTTCATAAGAAAAAAATTCGAGAAAATATATTAATTAAGGAAAACTTGGCTTATTAGGCAAATCAAGCCTTGCATAGTAGGCTGAGAAGTGCGTTCTGGCTACTAGGTACGACATATATATATATATATATATATATATATATATATATATATATATATATATATATATATATATATATATATATATATATATATATATATATATATGTGTGTGTGTGTGTGTGTGTATCACGAAAATAAACAAGTGATTAAAAATGTGACAATGTCAGACCACGGAGGAAAAATGAAACAGGAATTTTCCTTAAGTACTTTCGTATATTAATACATCTTCAGAACTGTGACTCCTTCTGAAGATGACTCCTTCTGAGAGTGACTCCTTCTGAAGATGTAATAATATACGAAAGTACTTAAGGAAAATTCCTGTTTCATTTTTCCTCCGTGGTCTGACATTGTCATATATTATATATATATATATATATTACAGTATTACAGTATATATTATATATATAATATATACTGTAATATATATATATATATATATATATATATATATATATATATATATATATATATATATATATATATATATATGTCGTACCTAGTAGCCAGAACTCACTTCTCAGCCTACTATGCAAGGCCCGATTTGCCTAATAAGCTAAGTTTTCATGAATTAATTGTTTTTCGACTATCTAACCTACCTAACCTAACCTAACTTTTTCGGCTACCTAACCCAACCTAACCTATAAAGATAGGTTAGGTTAGGTTAGGTAGGGTTGGTTAGGTTCGGTCATATATCTACATTAATTTTAACTCCAGTAAAAAAAAATTGACCTCATACATAATGAAATGGGTAGGTTTATCATTTCATAAGAAAAAAATTAGAGAAAATATATTAGTTCAGGAAAACTTGGCTTATTAGGCAAATCGGGCCTTGCATAGTATGCTGAGAAGTGAGTTCTGGCTAATAGGTACGACATATATATATATATATATATATATATATATATATGTCGTACCTATTAGCCAGAACTCACTTCTCAGCATACTATGCAAGGCCCGATTTGCCTAATAAGCCAAGTTTTCCTGAACTAATATATTTTCTCTAATTTTTTTCTTATGAAATGATAAACCTACCCATTTCATTATGTATGAGGTCAATTTTTTTTTACTGGAGTTAAAATTAATGTAGATATATGACCGAACCTAACCAACCCTACCTTACCTATCCTAACCTATCTTTATAGGTTAGGTTAAGTTAGGTAGCCGAAAAAGTTAGGTTAGGTTAGGTAGGTTAGGTAGTCGAAAAACAATTAATTCATGAAAACTTGACTTATTAGGCAAATCGGGCCTTGCATAGTAGGCTGAGAAGCGAGTTCTGGCTACTAGGTACGACATATATATATATATATATATATATATATATATATATATTACAGTATATATTATATATATAATATATACTGTAATACTGTAATATATATATATATATATATATATTACAGTATATATATATATTGCTTTGAAATTTTGACAACGTTCCATTCGAATATGCGTGTGTTTTTATATACCTACTATATAGATGCCACACCTGTGACAGGTAAAAACACATTATTAAAAAAAAAAAAAAAAAAAAAGGCGCCATCTGTTCCACGTAAAAGCATCACACGGTACACATGTTACGATTCCATTTCAATGTTTCTGATTGTACTGATAAATTGATTTTTCATAGATTTTGATTTATTTTCATTTTGATTTAATTATTTTGTTTGACACTGCATTAGAATTGAGCTGTGTTGTTTGCCATACCTCTCATTTCGTGAGTATTGTTAATTTTTTTATTGTTTCTTTGTTTTTCATGTTTTTTTTAACTGTTTTTATTTTTCAGTGATGAGAACATCAGATCATTCGATGTTCCCATTTTTCTGATGGGAACATCAGATCATTTAGGAATGCGTCGAATGAGGGAGTGGGGAATGGTGGCGAGGACGAGGGGATGGGAGTGGTGGATGGTAGGGAGGACGAGGGGACGAGTATGTGACTAGCATGTATCGATGAAATGATTTAAGTATACATTATCTTGCTGTTCTTTCCAGCTTGTTTATGTAGGGTCCTTGTTTATTCCAAGTTAATCCCAGTTTGATAATTAAAAACATTCACATAAAATGTAAATTGCTGCAAGTCACAAATAGGCTATTAGTTACTTTCAGCACTTTGACATCTTTTCACAAATTTGTTTAATACCTTATTACTTAGATGGTGTTTAATAGTATTAAATATAGTAGTCAACATGCATCTGGCAGCAAACTACCTTATGTACATGAGGGCATGCTGATGCTGGAAGAGGAGTGTGAAGGCCACACGTCGCTAAGTTTCTGTATTGACACCTGTACCCACGAACATAGAATTTCTGTATGCCTGCACCCATAAACACACTACTACTCAACATAAGAATAGAGGAAACTCCTTATAACGTGGCAGTTCATATGTATTTTCACCCAAACTCATTCATATACTATGTTTAACCTAAGTATAAATAATATACCAGTAATCCATATTATAATCCCAAGTCCAGTAATCCCAAGTTTGTTTCCCAGTAATTTGTACCACAGTTGAACAATCCTATTTCTAAACCAGTTTAGTATTCACCCTGATGATTTCCAAGTCTACAGTTACCTTAATTAGGACTACATGTATTTATTTTCCTTAAAGAAGCCTTTGTTCATTAATGATGACAATCTTTTTAATCTGCACTACATCTCCCATAATGTTAATTGATATTGGCGTACCCTTAGGTAGAATTTAGCCCATTTCTCTTTCAAACATATACAGTGACCTATCAAACTTTATCTAACACCTTAAAAGAATATTACTTACTAATGTTGGCAATTTAAATGCATTTATTTTTTCTAGCAGTGTGATGAAATTTATGTAATTTTATTTGGTATTCTGTTAAAAGTTAAAAAAATGTCAATTCATTCATGTTTCTGTGATTGCAATAATATATTGTATATTTTTTTTGTGAACACACTTGTGCTTAATTCCTGCTTTACTTCTAATATGTCTTATTTGTGTATAGGGTATTGTTATATTTATACTTTTATCCCATTTTTATTATTTTCAATCTTGAAAATAATAATAATTTAATTTTGTTCATAGAAATGTCTATCCCAGAGAGCCATTAATATCCAACCTTTCTAGGAAGAAATCCACACATGATTGGGATTCATCCTTAGGTTTCAACTAATTCACTGACTGTCATACTTTCATATTAGCACCTTATGATTAGTGAAATCTTGCTGAGCATAACTGGCTGCTTGTTATAATAATTTAGAATATTAGCAGAATCATTTGAATAGCAGCATGCTACCAGTCATGCGTGTTTTACACTATCCACTAGTCTTGTGTGTCTACATTACATGTTTCCGCCAGTCCTCAGTGTGTACACGTGTCCAGTACTGTATGCATACACTACTGTACAGGTGTGGATCAGTCGTGTAGAGCGCTACAGAAGAGCAGTATAGGTGTGTAGAGACTGACCGTTGTTGTGGGAGGTGTGGGAGGACGACCTGATGGAGCCCGGGATGAGACACCGACGGGGAGACTCCTGAAGACGGTGTGGGCACAGGAACGACATCAGCTTTCTCAGGTGACGGTTGCTGTACCTCTGCTGACGTCGGAAGAGCACGTACATGTACCTGTGAGAGTTACAGTTTCAAGGTTGAGACGGACACATACAAACATGTAAGATAACAAAATTAATATTCTTATGGAAGGTGCTAGGCTTTCTTCTGGCCAGGTGATGAGGGGCTTAGGTATTTAACAGGATGTTATCCCCTGGAACAGCTTCCTCGGATGCCAGGCGAGTACAACGGGCTCACCATAGCCCATGCTACTTGGAACTTTTGTTTCGAGTAGCTGAATCTAAAACAATCACCACCATCCCAGAATTCCGTTACCAACCAAAAAGGTTTACAACCATGTCCAAGTGCTGCTGAGGGAAGGGGAGGGGGGAGGGGCACATGGGAGAACAAAAAAAAGTAGCCAGTGGTTTGGCTCTGCTCAAGGTTTGAACCCTGGTCTTCTTTCTCTCTTGTGAAGTTGGTGTGCTGATTACACAACAGGGTCTCTGTGTCATTCTTATCTTTAACACTTCTAGATATAAATCCAAGTATCCTCCTGCCCGGAGGATACTAGTCCTCCTGCCCGGAGGATACTAGTCCTCCTGCCCGGAGGATACTAGTCCTCCTGCCCGGAGGATACTAGTCCTCCTGCCCGGAGGATACTAGTCCTCCTGCCCGGAGGATACTAGTCCTCCTGCCCGGAGGATACTAGTCCTCCTGCCCGGAGGATACTAGTCCTCCTGCCCGGAGGATACTAGTCCTCCTGCCCGGAGAATACTAGTCCTCCTGCCCGGAGGATACTAGTCCTCCTGCCCGGAGGATACTAGTCCTCCTGCCCGGAGGATACTAGTCCTCCTGCCCGGAGGATACTAGTCCTCCTGCCCGGAGGATACTAGTCCTCCTGCCCGGAGGATACTAGTCCTCCTGCCCGGAGGATACTATAGTCCTCCTGCCCGGAGGATACTAGTCCTCCTGCCCGGAGGATACTAGTCCTCCTGCCCGGAGGATACTAGTCCTCCTGCCCGGAGGATACTAGTCCTCCTGCCCGGAGGATACTTGGTTTTATTGCATACATTAAAACATTACTGTATTAATGATTAAATCAGGTTCCTAAATGACTATCAGGTTTCTAGTATGAATGGAAACTAGCTAGTACAAGTGTACTACGTCCTAAGACATCACCGCCATTGGCTATCAGGACTATCAATCATAACTAATATTAATATTGCGACCATGATATCCAACAAACTCGTGTGTGTTTTTGGTTCAGGTTAAAAAAAAAGAAGTAATTTTTCCCCGCCTTGTATCATCAACGTGTGGGGGGGGATGTAAAGGAGCCACTACACTTTAAAGGTCATCTTCTAATATATGGAGAGAAGATAGAGCCCTTCCAAGAAGGAGTCAATTCGAGGCTGCTGTCATTACTTCCAGCATGAATGGCCAGACCCTCTAATACATCATGTCAAAAGGTGCCAGAAGTGTCCGAGCCGGATGTCGTCGTCGGCCGAGACATCGCTGGATGCTGGCAACCATCAGTGAGGTGGTCGCTCAAAATCTCTCTAAACCAGTACTCCGTGACTTTCAGTAATAAATCTTATATTATTCCAATGCTGTAACATCTGATCATTTCTTTGTACATATATTAACTCTGGCTATTTACAGGATAATTTGATCTTATTCAAGGGGTAATTTGGAGGTTATTTAAGGATTCATTCGTCGTTAGGTTTAGGGACACGTGCACGCGCGTTCAATGAGAGTTGGGTACAGACAAGTGAGCTAGTGTCGCAGTCTGACCACTTCAATTTGAATTTGGGGATGTTTGATGGATAATTTTAAGTTCTTTTCTGTGTAATTTCAAGTTGATTGGTAACTAGAACTGATAGGCAATTTACCTTTGATGGGAACTTCCAGGCTGTTTGATGGATAATCTGGGTCTCTAATCAGCCTAATGGGGTACTTCAATTATTATATATGCATGATATCTCAGATAGTACGGGACTATTGTGTCCAGCTCCCTCACTCTGCTCCCACTGGGTTACCCAGCAGTAATTGGGGATCTGGATGAAAAACTATTGTGGATCGTATCCTTAAGAATACATGGCGTTGACTGGCTTAACCGGGGGCCAATATTGTGGGCTGTATTGTCCGAAGCCTAAATCCTATTCTAAGAAACTGGGTTTTATGAATGGTATTTTGAGATTCTGATTTATAGTTTAGAGACTTTTTATTAATAGATTTGAGGATATTTTATTTATAATTTAGGGATATTTTATCAATAATTTTGGAATATATAATTATACTCTTTTTAATTTTAGGCAATCTAATTTATAACCATTTTGATGGATGGTTAACCATTCTGATGAGACCTTCTGATGGATAATTCGATCATGAATATTATATAATTGCAAAGAAGTACAAGGGTGGGAGTTTGGTAATGTGAGGACTGAGGTCCCGAGGCTGGCTGCCTGGTGGATTATCTTGATTGTGTCAGATAGTTTAATTTGGGCTCAGCTGATGCACATCTTGACTTCTAGTGGGTAATATAGTTAGTAATTTGAAGCTCTGTTGGGTAATTCGGGATATCCGGATCGGGCAGTTTGGGTCCGTCTGATGGATAATTTGAGATGGGGGGAGGGAGGAAGAGAGAGACAAGGGGAAAGGGAAGGGTTGGAGATCGTAGCATACTCACGGGTCGAGTGTGAAGTTGAGGGCGATGAAGAGGTCAGCGACTCTGTAGACCTGCTTGTAGAGTGGGTTGGTCCCAACCATCTGCGCCACGATGATGGTCATCTGTTGGATGACGGGAGACATCAGCACTACCTCACTCACCTGTACTCTCACTACCACACTCACCTGTACTCTCACTACCACACCCCTCACACCCACTTACACCCTTGCCACCACCTCCATATCCACGTACACCACTACCGAACCCACCTATACCACCACTACACCCACACTACCTGCTGGACACTTACCAGCTGAGGCACCCAGCAGACGACGAAGAAAATAGAGAGGACGGCCATGAGGCGAGCAAAGGAGAGCTCCTCGGTGGTGGCGTGGTTCATGGAGGGGTCGCCGCTGGTGGAGGAGGAGCTGCGGCAGGAGGCGCGGGAGTGGCGGCGCGGCATCAAGCGCTCCCGCATCCTGCACAGCACCCGGATCACGGCCAGGTTACAGCACACAATCACCGTGCACATCAACATGCCTGCGCGGGGTGAGGGAAGGGCGTCAGCACACTCCCACCGTACACTCTTAATTCTACCCGATGTCGGGAACAAGAAGCTGTAATCTAGGATTACAGAGGGCCTTCCTAGGCTACCTATTTATCTCTCCCAGGATGTAACCCACAACAATTGCCTAAATCCTGGATATCTCTTTAACTGCTAGGTAAACAGAGACATCAGGTAGAAGGAAACTGCCTAAATGCTTTTGTTCTGTCCAGGAATTGAACCCTGGTCCCTCGATTGTGAGCCGAGGATGCACACCACTGTGCTACAAGACCCTAGATAATTATAAATAACTGGGCCAGGGTAATGGCAGAGTACCTTATTGCCTGGAAAACAATCTCGAGGTTATCGTGAGATGATTTCGGGGCTTAGCGTCCCCGCGGCCCGGTCTTTGACCAGGCCTCCTTTTTGTTACACCCCCCCCCCAGGAAGCAGTCCGTAGCGGCTGTCTAACTCCCAGGTACCTATTTACTGCTAGGTAACGGGCATCAGGGTGAAAGAAACATTTCGCCCATTTGTCTCTGCCTTCACCGGGGATCGAACCCGGAACCTCAGGACTACGAATCCGAAGCGCTGTCCACCCAGCTGTCAGGTACCCGACAGGGTGCCTGACAGCTGGGTGTTAGGCATGCTGCCTGTTAGGCAACAGGCTAACAGTCTGCCTGTTAGGCAAACTACCTAACAGAAAGGAAACAGTAATAATATGATTGAACAAATCTGACCGGAGGAGTGCCATTAGTGGAGTCTTATGGACGGACTTATGGTATTCCTTGTATACATGAATGACATTGACGATGAACTAGACTTGTGCGCCACTGTTGATGACACAAAGTTAGGCGATATATAAAAGTGGAAATTACAGTACATGTAATAACATTACAGATAAAGTATTTTCAAGTCCTGAGCATAGTCCAGGACTACGGTCTACTCACTGTATATGAACCCTCTATATATAATTTTTCATTGTGAAATTTATGACTCCTAGATACTTTTCGCCAATATATTTACTAATTTTGATATCTAGTACCCTCCTCTTCCTACACATATATCCCTACACTTATTCAATGAAATTGTTGTGTCTGGCTTTCAGCATAAGACCGGCTCTGCTAAGACCAGCTTTGCAAATGTTGCAACAAAAACTTCGAGTTTCTCTAATAGTATAGCTTATAATAAATCCTTTTAGCAATAACTAAATCACGTTATATTTACCATAGGCAAAGACGAGGTAGGCGTAGGCTCGGTCGAGGGGCGTGGTGGCGAGGCGGTAGCGGACGCAGGGGGTAGGGAAGCTCTCGTCATACCACAGCCCGAACCCAGCGAAGGGCGCGCACACCACCACCAGGTTGAACGTCCACAGCCCCAAGATGGCTCTCCGGATCACCGCGTGAGTCACATGCTGAGATTTAATAATTCACTTGTGAGTTATCGCACGGAGATGAGAGACTGGGGACATGGGAGGGTCCAGGACAAGAAGGCTCGCATGGCAGCTGACTACCCACACCAGCCACAGGGACACAGAAAAGTGTTGAAGAAGACTGCCAGGGAGAAATTCAACCTAGGAGCTAAAACACAGCTCTCAGAACCACACCTTAACTAAAACACACACACACACATTATGGCATTGTGGAATAGTGGAGCAGACCTCGTGGTGGACGTGACCTCACCAGCATCAATCTGTGACTGACCGAGACCTCACACCTGACGCACCACGTGGAGTATTTGCTCGCCGTTTGTGTAGCAGATCGTGCAAAGTATTTGGACCGCCTGTTGGCTAGGTTGTTTACTGCAATGGCAAAATCAGGAAGGGCTTCAAGATCAATCACCAGCAGGGAAGAGGAGGACTGATTTGTAGACAAGTTAATAGGGAAATTTGTAGAGAGAAGAAGCGTTTGGATGGAGGATCTAATCCAAGGGATTAAAAGCGAGATATTTCAGCAAATAAAGGACGCGATTGAGAGAAACAGCTTATGCGCTATATTCAGGAAGAGATTAGAAAGAGCAGAGAAGAATGGGAGAGGGAATGTGCTCGGCTCACAAATTAATTAGGAAGGATTAAGAGCATAACAAGGGACAGGGGATTAGTGAGTGCGGGAGGGATGGGAGGTGTCCAGGGAAGGGGCTACCAGCATGAGTGTGACTCACTGAGGAGGTCTATTATACTACAGGGATTATTCGAATCTAGGGCAACAACAAGACAAGAAACGATAGAGATGGAACAATATGAATTGTATGAGATATTGAGATGTATTAGGGCCGAAATGGTAGGAAACATGGTGGAACTCAGCCGCCGGGTTGGACATTACAAATGTACCAAGAATAGACCTGTTCTAGTATAATTCTCTGATGAAGAGGCAGTGGAGTACATAATGAAGAACAAGCATTTACTCGGAGGCAGTGAAACCCATTACAATGTGTTTATTGAGAGGTATATGACAAAAGATGAACAAATAGCCCGCAAGGCGAGATGGTCTGTACGACACCGTAACCCTAGCCTCTCACGTAGCCTCACCTCCCAAGTCACACCCTCCTCAACTCTGCCCTCCTATACCTTCCCCCTGCTTCAACCCCCAACAACTCCCCTGCCCCTTCCACAATTGCACTCGGCTCAACCTGCTACATCATACCCTTCAATGACCATATTGGGCCAAGCCATAACCTCCTCAAACCCACCTTCCCACCCCTCCTCCCCTACTACCCCTGTCCAACTCCTGTCCTTTCTACCCCATTGCCTTCAATTCCACCTGCTCCATCCCAGCTCACCCCTCTTCCCCTCACCCCCAAACCCCACCCAATCCTCACCCCTATCTGCACCCCATCTCCCATATAACCCCCTCACCTTGTGACACCCTAACACCTTCCCCCATCTCCCTCTTCCCCTCTTCTACCCCAAAACCCCCACCTACCCCTGATTCCCACCCCGACTAATACACCCTCTCTTCCACTCCCAGCACCCATGCTCCATTCTCCCCTCTGCCCCCAACCTCTCAACCTCTATCTGACTCTCAGCCTCACTCTACTTTTCAACCCCCCTATGCCATTCAGACCCTCCCTAATTTTCAGACCCACTAAGCCCTTCCTACCCCCTAGATGCCCAGACCGCTTTCACCTCACAAGCACCCCCCCCAGCCCCCATTCGCCCCCCAGAGCCCGGGAGAAAGGGTGAACTATGGCACCAGAGTTTCCAAGAAGAGTCTCAAGGTTTGATACACCAATGCTGATGGGGTATCCAATAAAGCAGAAGAGATAAAAGAAAGTTAGTGAGGCAGACCCATAGTTGCAATAGTGGAAACTAAAATAAATGGCATGATCCCAGATGCAATCTTTCCAGAGAAGTAAAAGGTGATAACAAAAGAAAGAACACAGGCAGGGAGGGGGAGTGGCACTCCTAATAAAGCTGAAATGGAAGTTTGATGACCTGGAAAATCCGGGTAAAAATGAAAGTACAAGATCCATACATGGAACTCTGACAGTGGATGGGAAGAAGATTGTGATCTTGATACTCTACAATCCCCCACCAAACAATAGAAGGCCCAGGCAGGAATATGATGACAGCAATAAGGCATGTATAGATGAACTGCAGAAGGCAGCAACAATAGCGCATAGAATGAGAGCGAAACTGCTGGTCCTGGGGACCTAAATCACGGAGAGATAAATTGGGAAACAAAGAATCCCCATGGCGGGGAGGAAACGTGGGGAGCGAAGTTAGTAGACGTTATTGACAGGAATTTTCTAACACAGCATGCAAAGGAAGGCAAGGGAAAGAGGAGGGGATGCGCCCAGCCTATTAGATCTCATTTTCACCCAGAATGTAGAAGACATCGATAATTTGGAACATAAAATACCACTAGGAGCCAGTGACCATTGTGTCCTAGTCTTTGACTACATGATAGAACTCAAAATTGTGACCAAAGGACAAGAGGTCCGGGAAAGGAGAGTTATTACAGAAAAGGGGACTACAGAAGGATAAGGGAGAAGTGCAGTGGGAGGAAAAAATTAGAGGAAAAACAATGCATGATGAACCTAGTCATATAGAAATGCAAGGAGGCTAAAGAGAAATTTATTCCAACAGTAAAGGAAAAAGCAGGAGGGAATATAATAACCCATGGCTTAATAGACAGTGTCAAAGCAAAAATGAGAAGCAGGACGGAGTGGAGGAAGTACAGAAGACAAAGGACAGAAGACAAAGGACAGAGGACAACAGGATTAGATGTAACAGAGCTAGGAACGATTACATTAACATAAGACGAGTATCGGAAAGAAATTATGAGTGATATTGCAATCAAAGTGAAAAAGCAACCTAAATTACTACATAGCCATATAAGAAGGAAGATGTCGGTAAATGACCAAGTGACAAGACTGAGGAAAACAGAAGGGGCATATACAGAAAGTGACAAGGAAATCTGCGAGGTACTGAATGCAAGTTTCCATGGAGTGTTCACAACCGAGCCTGAGCAGTTCCCATTGTTAGAAGAGATTACCCTAGACGGAAGACTATCAGATATAGAGGTGACAGCAGAGGAGGTAATGAAACAGTTGACAACACTGGATGCAACTAAAGCAGTTGGACCAAACAAAGTATCACCGTGGATACTAAAAGAGGCAGCGCAGGCCCTCAGTGTGCCACTGGCAATGATCTTTAATGAGTCACTTATGTCGGGGAGAATTGCCCAGTTGCTAGAAAAAGGCAAATGTCGTACCAATTTTCAAGAAAGGAGATAGGGAGGAGGCACTTAACTACAGACCCGTATCACTGACAAGCATCCCCTGCAAAATACTTGAAAGAATAATTAGGTCAAGACTTGTTGCATACCTGGAGAGCATTAGGTTTGTAAAACAAGCACTAACATGTGTTCTAGACAGGGAAATCATGCCTAACAAACCGTTTGGAATTCTATGATAAAATAACAAGGATAAGGCAGGACAGAGAAGGCAGGACAGAGAAGGCTGGGCAGACTGCATATCTCTAGACTGCCAAAAGGTCTTTGATACAGTATCGCACATGAGACTGCTATTCAAACTTGAGAAGCTGGCAGGAGTAAGCTAAAGGCCCTAGCATGGGTAAGGAACTACCAAACAGGAAGAAGCCAGAGAGTAATGTTAAGGGGCAAGAAGTCGGGCTGGCGAACAGTAACGAGTAGAGACCTCAAGGATCGGTGCTGAGACCAATCCTATTTCTAATTTACGTAAATGATATGTTTACAGGAGTGGACTCCTACATGTCAATATTTGCGGATGATGCAAAATTAATGAGAAAAGTTGTGACGATGAGGATTGTAGGATCCTCCAAGAGGACCTGGACAGGTTGCAGAGATGATCAGAGAAATGACTACACGAGTTCAACATGAGTAAATGTAAAGTTATGGAAATGGGACCAGGTGATAGGAAACCAAAGGGACAGTAC